TATAACATTTATTAGGATTTATTTTTCTTCTGGTTTATCCATAGCAGCAGTAGCACGAGCTGTCCAGGACAAATTTTTATTAGTCATAAAAGAATACAAAATGAAAAAAAAAATTTGATAATGTAGACACATACTGTAAATTGGTAATGATGAATGTGTTGAAATTCTACGGATACTTCCTTTCTCTTCTAATTCACGAATCGCAATGCGAGCAAGGGATCCATTAACCCTAAGACGATCAACCAAAACTGCTGGTGTAATTAATTTATAAGTTGGTACTTCTTTTTGTAGTTTATCATATGTTGCTTTGTCAAGAACTACGGCATTGTTGGCTTTGTCCTTAACCTTTCCTTTGGACCATTTCTATGTGTTTATAAACTCTCTATGAGTATTTAAGCGTAATTCATAAAATAGTGATTTGCTATACTCCATTACCTTTTTCTTATTTTTACCGGAAGAAGGCTTGGGTGCCCTCTCTTTAGCCTATATATAAAAGTTAATAAAAATTTCATTATGTAGTTCTTTATAATAAATATAAATATAATCGGATAAGTGCACATGCATTTCAACTTGGCTCTTATATAACTCACCATATTTGATATCTCTAATTTACAAGAAAAAAGAAAAAATTTTTTTTATCTTATACGCTTACCGTTACAGAATAATATTGATTGGTTGATCCTCAGGTTGAATATGATTGGTTTGATTTTACATGGCGGTGTCTGAACTTCCGCATATGTTCGAATTTGCATACAAATAAGTTCATATGCGCAGCTAAATTCATATAAACCGCAAGTTAAGTTTTTTAGTTAGTTGGTATTGTCACTGGAAGCGTTAAAGTCTTCCATGATTATAGGCTGTATATTGTAAGAAGTCGCTTGTTGAAATTAAATTTTGAATTTTAGAAACTGCAACAGACTATGACTAATAACCAAAATTTGGCCAATATATTATCGACCTATTAATATCAACTATTGTGGAGGCTTATGCTGAAAGTTAGGGTTTTTATTTATAGTCTCAAGAGTGTAATTATAGAAAGGTTTGATTATATCTATTAAAAGTCACTTATACTCTTTAATTAACAATTTTAATCCTAAATTTTAATTTAACTCTAAAAAAAAAACTTTTACAAAAGGTTCTAAAAATTTTTAAAAATTTTATAATAAATTATATAAAATTTTAGTACAGTAAGACCTCTCTAAGTGCACGCTTTATAAGTGCACACACTATATAAATTCTCTCTAAATACAAGGTATAACTTGGCTCTAACTTATAAAAGCATTATATATTTTGCTCTCTATAAATGCACTCTCTCTTTAAATACACATTTTGCTTTTTTTTAACTATGGTTCCGAGGTGGTGCACTTAGAAAGGTCTTACTGTATTATATAGCCAATTTTAGTTATCATATTAGTGGTGTACAATATCCCAAATTTATAGCAAAATTATCCTATTAAATTAATAAACAAACTTTAATTTTCTTTTTTACTTGTTGTTCTCAAAGACTTTTCTAGTTTGGATATCAAAGACAAATAGAAGTTCATCTAAAAAGAAAAGAAATAAGGCTTGACCTCTTTACAAATTATTCAAACTGCTTGTATCTTGGTATATTATGTTTAAAAATATTATTGATAATAGTTTGTATTAAAAAAACTTCAAGTTATTGTTAACTTCTAGTTTTAAATCTTCAATTTGCTTTTGAAACTGGTTGGTACAAGTGATTATTAGAGAGAATTAAGTCATACATTATTATTACTTTACTACTACAGATAATTTGTCTAATTTTTAAAATTTTTTGTTTAAAATATTTTTAGTTTCTTGTAAATTATTTAATTATAACATAGAATTTTATATAATTAAATTAATATCTCTTAGATTGTAGTAAAAAGTGGACAAATTTTCTTATATTTTTGTACTTTTTAGTTTTGATTTACTTTTTAAAAAACTAAAATAATTAAATAAATAAGGGTGTGGTAACTTAGTGAAGTTGGTAAGTTGTCGCATCTTCAAATAGCAAGACAAAAGTTTGAATCCTACTGATAATGAAATTCAAATTTTACAGAATGTATTATAGCAAACTGTATATAATCTAACAGATTAGCACTTGTAATCTTAGTCATACCAGCTCATACTGAAAGGCTGTAGAATAGTAGTATAATGTATAAGTTACATAAAACCTAAGTAAAACAGTTATATAAATCTAGAGACTTGAAGTATATTGTTATATTAGTAGATTTTATTAGCATATTTTAGAAGATTTTATTAGTATTGTTACAAAGTAGATTTTTAGTATAGATTTTATTAAATATTATTTAGTTATTTTTAGTTATTATTATTCAAAAT